CGTTATTTAATATGGCCTGATATACACTGCTGTCGCCATCAGCAATAATTGTTTTATATATCAGTCCATGCATTTCAAGGCTATTTTTAAAGCCTTCTACAATGGCGTCACTTTCCATACTTGTAGAGCTAGCGTTGCGGTCAAAATTTTTATAACATTTGTGACTGCGTGACTCGAGTCCATTTCGCTCCGCTCTGTCACACACCGTACAAAATTTGTTGCGGATACCAATAAAGAGAACTTTTTTTGTGCGGTAACCAATTATGGCACCAACACCGGAAAGTGAATCGTAAGCGTTGCCGTACGACCTCTTCATCCAACTACCATCCGCTACAACGGTTATGTATGGAATGCCATTTATAGTTTCATTCCTTTCGAGGGCGAGTTGTTTTTCTACTTCGCCTGCCATTTTCATACTTTCTGTAGCTGTTTTTTGAAAATCATCGACTAGATTTTCGCGATGTTTTATATAAGTCTTTTCAGACATGCAAGGAATATTTATACCTGCACAGAACTCTTCCAGTTGGGCATAACCATTTCCAACTGTTATAGTTGTAGCTACAGCAGCTTGGTTGAGATCCAACTTTTCAGGTTCTCTGGATTCTGACCATATATTGTCTTCATAGTTGCACATTTGACATTTGAAGAAATATTGTGTCATCAACCCTTCACGATGAGATTTTATGAGTTTCCAATCTTTAAATTGGCACTCTATTCCTCGTGCATGATTATTAAATGTTTTGTGTATCTCTGTCCATATAAAAGAGAAATCGACAATACTGCGGCCTTTGGGCATGCATTCTTGGATACGATTTGTTTCTAAAAAGCCTTTATTATCGATAACGAGATTTTCGTTATCTTCGCTATGTACAACTTTTTCTATATACATACCTGGTACGTTGCTTTTTATATCTTCGTATTGCATTACTTTGGTACTGATGTTTGAATCCATCTTGTCTGATGATTCCATCGATTCAACAAACTTGATGGATTCATTTTCAGTACCATTAGTAAGCTTAGACGCAGACTTACAACCACGCAGACTTTCAACTCGCTGTAGGTTTAGCATTTGTCGCCTAGAAAAAAATAATCATATAATATTTATACGCATTTCAAACGTCATATCAAACATTATATACTCATTATTCCTTTCAATTTTCAAAAGAAAACTTAAAAAAGATACAATCTTGAAAGTGAGAACAGTTTTTTTCTTATTTTATTGTCAACAAATTATCATATACATTACAATATTATGTTGAAAGTAACCTTGAAAAGTAAATATAACCAGTACATGATATACTTTTCTGGCATTATTGTTACGAACCAGCCCACGTCAGAATAGACGCCTCTGGCATTATTATTATCACCAGCCCACGTCAGAATAGACGCCTCTGGCATTATTATTATCACTAGCCCACGTCAAAATAGACGCCTCTGGCATTATTATTATCACCAGCCCACGTCAGAATAGACGCCTCTGGCATTATTATTATCACCAGCCCACGTCAGAATAGACGCCTCTGGCATTATTATTATCACCAGCCCACGTCAGAATAGACGCCTCTGGCATTATTATTATCACCAGCCCACGTCATAATAGACGCCTCTGGCATTATTATTATCACCAGCCCACGTTGAAGTATGTCTCTGGCATCAATTACTATTAACTAATTATTACGATTAACTAACTGTGTAACTACTATTTATATAAAGTATTATTTTCATCAATAAATAAGAAAAAAACTGTTCTTCATATTTTACTTTAATATGTCATGGATGAACTGGCGGTACACGTTTCTTTTTATCGAAATATAAGATTAATTTAAAAAATTTGTTATTTGCTAAAGAAAAATCACAGAAAAAAAAACCGTTAACTTCACTTTCAATATTTTATACAGAGTGTCCCATTTTAAAAGCTCCAATACATTATTTCTTTAGCAAAGCACTTAAGAAAAAAATGTTTCAAACAAAAGTTGTAGGGTTCGGAGGGGGACATAAGATGGTACCATTGGTTTGACCTTGAAGAGTTATTTGAAGGTCACATAAAGGTCACCTTTAATTTCTAAAATGGAACCTACTATTTTTCATTGCATATTCTTGTAGCTTATCTCAAGAACTCTCCAAAACACTATAATTAAGTACCTTTTTGTTAAGTATTTTTTGAGTTATAAGGCTTGAAATAATATCTTAATTTTACATTAATCGTAATATATCTAGTAAAATATTCATTTTTCGATTATCTTGCCTTGATACTTTTATGTACAAAATAATGAGAGAAATCAATTGGTGTAAAAAAAAACACAGTTTGTGTTTAAAAAAAAAAAAAGAAATTTGCAATTAACAATTACATATTTTTTCTTTGGAACAACTGTGTGTTTTTTTTACACCAATTGATTTCTCTCATTATTTTGTACATAAAAGTTTTAAGGCAAGATAATCGAAAAATGAATATTTTACTAGATATATTACGATTTATGTAAAATTAAGATATTATTTCAAGCCTCATAACTCGAAAAGTACTTAACGAAAAGGTACTTAATTATAGTGTTTTGGAGAGCTCTTGAGATAAGCTACAAGATTATGCAATGAAAAATAGTAGGTTCCATTTTAGAAATTGAAGGTGACCTTTATGTGACCTTCAAATAACTCTTCAAGGTCAAACCAATGGTACCATTTTATGTCCCCCTCCGAATCCTACAACTTTTGTTTGAAACATTTTTTAAGAAAATTCATATTTTACGATATATTTGACCGTTGCCGAACTTTTAGGACACACTGTATGTACACACACACACACACACACAACACACACACACACACACACACACCCACACCCCCCCCCCCCCCCCCCCCCCCCCCCCCCCCCCCCCCCCCCCCCCCCCCCCCCCCCCCCCCACACACCCACACACACACCACACACACACACACACACACACACACACACGTATATACATACATACATACATACATACATACATATATGGACAGAATAGTAATGGTTGCAGCACTTTTATTATAAAATTTAGGATTACAAGTTAGTAATCATATATCGTATATCGATATATCAAATATCGAAACTTGCTTATATACAGAATGTCCCAAAACTCATAATCAATCTTTCAAAGACAGATTCCTGGAATCATCTGAAAACGATTTTTCCTCAATGAAAATGTCGAGGCACTAATAATTTTCGAATTATAAGTGATTGGAATTAAGGGATTTTCCGTAAATTAAGCTTTGCAAAAATAAAATATTAACAAAACCACATTCTTCAATTAATTTTAAATAGAGTTTACTTTAGTTGAGTTTTAATTAAAGGCTTAATTGCAAAGATATATGATGAAAAAGATAAGGAACACGCAAAAAATGATGGCCTTTATTGACATTTTTACTGAGGAAAAATCGTCTCCAAATGATACCAGGAATCTGTCTTTGTAAGATTGATTATGAGTTTTGGGACACCCTATATGTATATATATATGTATATATACATATATATATATATATATATATATATATATATCTTATGATTTTTAAAAATATTTTTAATTTACAAAATTAAAGTTTTATTAATTAAACTATATATATAATATTAAAAATTATAATTGACTTAATAATTTATATGTATTTATGTATAATTATTTTTAGAAGTTCAATTTTTATATATAAATTTACAATATATTGGTAGTTTTAATAATATTTAAAATAATAGTTTCGAATATTTCTATAATTATGTATTTAATTTGTAAAATAATAAATTGAAAATTATTTATAGTTTATTATTAAATTTTTATACTTTGTGAAAGGACTTTAGAGTTACCTATAATTTATTTTAATTTAATTTTATATATTAATATTTATATTTTTTATTTTAGAAATTTAATAGAAATATGTATGATAAATTATTTTTTTATATTTTATATTTATATAAAATTATATTTTTAATTTTTTTTTTTTTTTTTTTTTTTTTTTTTTACATTTAATTAATTTTTTTATAAAATTGATTATTAAAAAATAATTTTATCATGCATATGTTCTATTTAAAACTTTCTAAAATTAAAAAAATAATACAACTTATTACCATGATATCGAATTATATTAAAACTAATAAAGGTAACTCTAAAGTCCTTTCACAAACTATAAAAATTAAATAATAAACTATAAATACTTCTCAATTTATTATTCTATAAATTAAATATATAATAATAGAAATATTCAAAATTATTATTTCAAATATTATCAAAACTACCAATATAAATTTATATATAAAAATTAAACTTATAAAAGTAATTATACATAAATATATATAAATTATTAAGTCAATTATAATTTTTAATGTTATACAATTTAATTAATAAAACTTTAATTTTGTTAATTAAAAATAATAAAATATTTTTAAATTAAAAATAATAAGATATTTTTAAAAATTATAAGATATATATTATATATATATATATATATATATATATATATATATATGCAAGTTTTGATATTTGATATATCGATACACAATATATGATTACTTATTTGTACCTAAATTTTATAATAGAAGTGCAACCATAACTATTCTGCCTACAAGCTTTTATAATTATGCAAAACATACCTTTTTGCCCATCCTTTTTTTCGAGAAAGTCGGAGGCGGGAAGGATATTTGTTTTTTAAATCTTCTTTCATTTCGTATTTATTGCTGTAAGAGAATAAAATTAATAATAAATTTAAAATAATAATTTTTTTGAAATACTGTGTGGGCGATTAAAATTAAACGCCCTGTACATAATTATAATATTTCGTAATATCACAAAAAAAATTAGCAATACTTACGAATAAAATTATACAATTACTGAATTGTCTAATTATACAATGTTGTTCGTTGGCTTCTTCGTCACACGACACATATATATGTTACACGTGACAACGTCGGATCGCGCACGTGATAAGCGAGTGTCCGAAACAAGTGCGAACGTGTCTGGAAGATAACCGCAGTGCGCAGTAATATTCCATCCGTCGCACGATGAATACACGTAAGTACACGCTCGTATAAACATTATATTGCTTTATTAGTAGTACTTTTATCAGTAGATACTTTTTATTAGTATAGAAATTTATTAGCTGTTATAATAGTATCATTAGAAACAGTATAAATAACCACGTAAATTGTAACAATATTTGTTGGTTAAGTACAGTAATAGTAATAAGACAGTAATTAAAGACTATTTTATAAAATAATCTGTTTAATAGACACATATACGTAAATATTAATTAATGTATATTTGTTTCAGGAAGAAGTGAACCAATGGAGAGAGTTAAAAATGTTCTCTCTCCGATTGCGAAGTCTGAGATAAATCTCCGCAAATCCACTTATAAGACGGTGCCAAAAGCAACGGCGACGATGCAAAAGGTTACGCAAAAGTCAACGGAGTCAAAGACACCAGAGTCAACTAAATACGACGACGACAATACGACAATGCAAAGAGCTAGTGTTTCAGAGTCGATGTCATCAGGGGCAACGACGTATGAAATAAAGGAAAATATACATACAAATATGAAAGTAAGTAACTGCATATTTAATTATTGCATATTTTTCCTTTTACTGCATGCAGATCATAAACAGATTAACATAGACTGCTCATAAGGTAGCGAAGAGTGTCCTCCTGAGAGAAAAAGATGATAGCATGAAGTTTATTTGTGTTTCTATCTTTTTCTGGTGTACGCGTGTTGCAATTTCAAGTTAAAAGTCAATAACTTGAAATTGCATCACGCATGTGTCAGAAAAAGACAGATACACAAATTAATTAATGCTATCCTTTTCTCTCAGGAGGATATTCTTCGCTACCTTATAAACAATCTATGTAAATATGTCTATGATGCAGGTATAAATAATACTTGGATTTTTAAAATTTGTGAGAAAAGAGAATATGATAGAGAGAATATTATATTAGAGATGTCCAAACTTTTATTAAAATATTGATAGGTATAGTCTCTCAGTTCTAAATATTTAAAAATATAATTAGAATATATTTATTATAATATTTATCTGTTATTATTTGTAATCTGAAAATCTATTGTAATTATAACATTTTTCATTTATTCTTGTAATTCATATTTATTTTTCATTACTAATTTGATATATGACGCTAAGACATTTTATGTTTTTAGACTATAAAAACGTATTTTCTTGTCTTATTCTTGTCTTTCTATTGTCTTATTTTATATTTTATATTTCAGAGAATTAATCAAGTCATGCGTCGGGAAGTCGCCAAGGAAAGGAAGAAATTAAAAAAAGAAGAATATCAAAGACGCAAAGCGCAATACAGGACACGTATTCCTGCACCACCTGTGTATGTGGCACCATCGCCAATACCATCGTTTTACGTACCGAGTTACGCACCATCGGCTTATGCAGCGCCGTTTATGTGCGCACCACCGCCTTTTGCTGCACTGGCTCACCCACAACCACCGCCTTACGGAGCACCGACTCATCCGCAACCATCGCCTTACGGAACGCCTTCGAACGTAATATTTTCTTCTCCTTACGCGCATATGTATAGACCTTTTTAAAATCGATTTTTGCGTTTAAATTTTATTACTAGAAAAAAATTTTAAATTTCATTTTATGGATTTTTTTTATGGATAAACTTTTATTGCTAACATATTTTGATAAAAAAATAATTATTTTTCAGTTGCATTTTCTTCTAAAATTTACAATTTTGGCTAGTCTTTTAACTTGAAATTGCATCTACAGATTAATCATTTTGACGAATATAAATATGATATAAATCACAATTTTCTTTCAAATAATTTTCTGTCTGACTTGCTGTTCTTTAAACACATATTTAAATTGCGCGATTGTTTCATCTATATGCACGACTTGATTAATTTTCTGAAATACAATAAGAACATACGTTTTTATAGTCTAAAAACATAAAATGTCTTAGAGTCATATATCAAATTAGTAATGAAAAATAAATATGAATTAAAAGAATAAATGAAAAATGTTATAATTACAATAGATTTTCAGATTACAAATAATAACAGATAAATATTATAGTAAATATATTCTAATTATATTTTTAAATATTTAGAACTGAGAGACTATACCTATCAATATTTTAATAAAAGTTTGGACATCTCTAATATAATATTCTCTCTATCATATTCTCTTTTCTCACAAATTTTAAAAATCCAAGTATTATTTATACCTGCATCATAGACATATTTACATAGACTGTTCATAAGATAGCGAAGAATATCCTCCTGAGAGAAAAGGATAGTATTAATTAATTTGTGTATCTGTCTTTTTCTGACACACATGCGTGATGCAATTTCAAGTTATTGACTTTTAACTTGAAATTGCATCACGCGTACACCAGAAAAAGATAGAAATACAAATAAACTTCATGCTATCATCTTTTTCTCTCAGGAGGACACTCTTCGCTACCTTATGAGCAGTCTATGTTATGTCTATGATCTGCATGCAGTAAAAAGAAAAGTATGCAATAATTAAATATGCAGTTACTTACTTTCATATTTGTATGTACATTTTCTTTTATTTCATACATCGTTTTCTTTTATTTCATACGTCGCCCCTGATGACATCGACTCTGTAACACTAGCTCTTTGCAATCGCCGTCGTATTTAGTTGATGCTGTCTTAGCCTCTTATATGCATACATATGTAAATGTGTATATATGTATTGCTACACATATTTTAGTACTGCCATATGTTGGGTAGCAGAGTCCGCATCGGTGGAACTTTAAAATCTACGCCGATGGCAGTACTAAAATATGTGTAGCAATACATATATATTTACATTGTGCTGTATTATCACTAGTACATGTATAAAAAAAAACACAGCCTTTTTCTTATAATCATTAAATTAGCGATTAAATATTTCTATTGTTTTTAGATAAAAGTAAAACAAAATAGTTTGCCTGCATTGATCGCGTTCAGCAGAGAAAATTGTTGTCATATTCTTTCGATGTTCGACGTTGATTGTTAGATTTGAAAGAAACCGATTATGAATTGCTACTAAGCGATTTTTCTCTGCTGAATTCATTCATAATACAATACTATAAAATAGTGATCAAAAGAAAAAGAGAGACGCTAATTCATTTTATTTTAAATAATAGGAACAAATAAAATTTACAAATCAACCTAATGCATTTATATGTATAATTCGAGTTAACTTATAATAAACTTATAGTAAATATAGTAAAAGAGAATAAATGGTGACATAATGCAGGAAAAGTGCAACTGAAAGAAACATACATAAAACAAGATTATTCATAAAAAAAAGTCATTGATATTTAGATGATGATCTTTGGGATCATGATCTTAAGAATTAATAATAATATTAGTTTATAATTATATAACTAAACAGAATAAAAGATTTAGTGCGAATATTAAATAAATGAAGCACTTCTTCCTTTTCTGTAAAAAAAAAGAAGAAATGAAAAAGAAGAATTTCATGAAAAAATGAATGTTGAAAAAACTACAAAGTATTGTATGCGATATTATGTTTAGTTCCATTACCGTATAAATTTTTATTTTCGTTTCATTACTTTATTAAATTTTTATTTTGATATTTGTCATTTTTCCATTATCTGTATGATTTAAATATAATTTTTACTGTGCCATATATAAAATGTTTATTTTTTCATAATAAAGATTTAGATAAGTTATTATAAGTAATTATTACTTATAATATTTTGTAGTCCTTTTGTTTTCTTTAAAAATTCTAAATCTTTATTATGAAAAAATAAACATTTTATATATGGCTGGTATTTAATGTACGGTGCGTTATTCTGTACAAGTACAATAAAAATTATATTTAATTTTATAAGTAATTATAAGTTATATAAATAAGTTATTTTACGTTATTATAAGTAATTATATAATAATTACTTATAATAACTCACAATATAATACTTTGCAGTCTTTTTGTTTTCTTTAAAAATTCTAAATCTTCATTATGAAAAAAAAATTTTATATATGGCTAGTGTTTAATGTACGATGCGTTATTTTGTACAAATACAGTAAAAATTATATTTAATTTTATAAATAATTATAAGTTATATAAATAAGTAATTGTAAGTTATTATAAGTAATTATATAATTACTTATAATAATGTATAATATTTTGCAGTCTTTTTGTTTTCTTTAAAAATTCTAAATCTTCATTATGAAAAAATAAACTTTTTATATATGGTTAGTGTTTAATGTAGAGTGTTATTCTGTACAAGTACAGTAAAAAGTGTTTAATTTTATAAGTAATTATAAGTTATATAAATAAGTAGTTATAAGTTTTTATAAGTAATATAATAATTACTTATAAATAATAACTTATATACTGGTACTAATATACAATAACAACTTTGAATATATATTGAAATATATGCATATATATAATATATGAATAAATATATTGTGTAAATAATTATAAAGATACACAAAGCATATTCTTTTCTCCCTATCCTTTGTCTCCATATCTCCTAAATATAAAAACACTCCTCAATATAGAAACACTAAATATTATTAATAATAATTAAAATATTTTGAAAAAAAATAAAAATAGTATAATAATAATTATAATTATTCGGTAATTATGAACTTTACGGACGCCATCCGCGATCTCAACGATTCTCACATATATTGTCAAGCTCACTCTCCTCAGTAAGTATCAAAAGATTTTAGATGTCGCTCACTATTTATTAAAAACTTATTAACGAAAGAAGTTTAACGAATAGAACATTATTTTCTTACAAAATTGTTATCAATTATATTCAATTGTCGGACACTTTGCAGGATTTAGAAAATGAGTTTTTCCAAAATGTTATAGAGGTCACTTTTTTAAATAACTTTCAAGATTTTAGTCGTCGCTTGTTGTTTAAAAAAAAATATAAATAAAAAAAATTTCATAAATGACACAATTTTTGAACACCACGTATATTCGTTAGGATTTTGACCATAGAAATGATTTATTATATTTTAATTCGTATTCTTAGAAATTATTTATTCTTGAGATATTGGGTACATATCTGCCATAACATTAAAGAAAGCATCAATTCGTTCTTCATAATTATAACGGCGGCGAAATATAAATTCAGCTAAATATCCTACGTAATGATTTTTTCGAGTACCGTAGCGAGGAATATTTGCGCGAGTTTCACGCCAAGCGCGTTCAATACGTTGTGTATGTGCACCACTCGTAGGATCGACAAAATTCATTTTATGATTGACTGTTAAATGTACGTAGCCTTCATTACTCAAGCATTTGTAAGATTTCCAACAGTCGGACTTAATTGTTGTTCCTGGTTTTATCCATTTTTTTATTACATTAAGTAATGTATCAGCAGAGCGATTATGTACGGGTTCAATAAACAATCGATTTGTTGATCTTTCAATACCGCCAAATATCCACTGTCCTTCTACGAGTCGTCCTTTATTATTTTTTCGCTTTCCTATTTTTGCCTCATCAATTTCTACAATTTCTCCTTCACCTCCAATTTTTTCTGACGTCGAATCTATCCATTGAATACATAACTATTAAAAAAAAAAAGGAATACAAATTTAAAAAGAAATATTTATAACATTAAAAATTTATAATAACGGTAACGTAAATATTCAATAATTATACCTCACGACAGAAACTGGACCAATCAACAATACTATGTGCAGAAAGTTCAAGTTCACATTGAAGAAAAGTCTGACGTGGTGGTTTTATGGTAAAAAAATATGCTATGAATCGACATATTGTTTGTAAATTCAAATGGCTTTGTGAAAACCATGTACCGTGAAAAGCACTCAATTTAATATTACATCTCTTTCTAATTCGTTTTTTATGATGATTCCGAACATATTGAGCATTATAACATCGAAATGTTAACATATCGCGATTGAAATCCATCATGTTATTACATTTAGGACACTGCGCGGAACCACGCACAACTTTACGTTCTATTAAATAATCAAGAAGTTGATTAAAATCATTGCAAATATTCAGAAATTCGTAAAGCTTCATTTTCGCTTCTTATATGTACTAACTGACTGAAAGATTGTCGTACACTAAACAGAAGTACAATTCCGAATAATTTGAAAAAAATGTAAACAAGTACAATGTGTAGAACACAATGTCATGTTTACTATCTATTCAACACATATTCGATCCAAACATACTTCTGTATACTTACATATTCTCGCAAAATAATGTTCTACTGATTACACTTGTTTCGCTGATAACTTTTTAATAAATAGTGAGCGACAGTTACAACTTTTCATACTTACTCAAGAGAGTGAGCTTGACAATATATGTGAGAATCGTTGAGATCGGTGATGGCGTCCGTAAAGTTCATAATTACCAATTATTCTTTCATGTTTATGTTAAATATTATTTATTAAAATTAATGCTTTTTCATTTTCAATTTCATCCTTATGTTATATATTATTTATTAAAATTAATGTTTTTTCATTTTCAAATTCAAGTTTATATTAAATATTATTATTTAAATTATTGTTTTTTCATTTTCAAATTTTTCTTTATGTTAAATATTATTTAAAAT